CTTTTCTTTTCTCTTCTTTGTTTGTCTGCTGAATGTGTTTTGTGTTTATCATTGCAGTTCGATCGACATGCAATTCGAAAGCGCTTTCAGCGCACCTTTTCTTTAATCTTTCTTTGTTTGTCTGCCCTCCACCTTTGCACCGTTGTTATCCTCTCAACGATGGATGATCAAAAGAAGTTTGCCTCGCATGCATGCGCACAACCGAAGACGACGTCCTTGAAATGCGCTTTGTATTCGTTGTATGAGGTCGACCAACTGTCATCAATGTTTCCGACAGCATTTTGTGAAGCTCACAAAAAAAATCGTGACAGACGAATCGACGAAAAAGATCGTTGTATGAGGTCGACCAACAGCACACGAAAAAGACCGTGATAGACAAACTGACGACGTAATAATTGAGACAAACAAAAAAAATTATAAGAACATTGCAAAAAAAAAAGAAGAAAAACAAAGACTCGTCCTGAATCGAAGAAGATTTCATGAAACACATAAAATTGAGGAGCCAAACAAATAGCAATTCCCACCGCATGATAGCAATGCAGTCGAGCGAGTCGCCGACGACACAAAAGAACAACATACGAATGGCAGCTGGAAGATCAATCCAATTAAAAAAAAAAAAAAAAAAAAAAAAACATTTGAAGCGACCAACAGCAGGGGAAAAAAAAGGTCGTTCCAATATTAAATGTTTGCACGTGCGTGCGAACCACGCAACCCTCCACACGACGAACACAGCAAACGAAGTCATCACCAACGACCATGTATCCGTCCACTCTACAGAGCTACTTCCCGGACAACGACCGTGGGCCACGGGCCACGTCAAAATATGAACCCTCCTACTGATCGCACCGACCCACGTCCGCAATCCCGACACCCACGACACACACACGCACCAAACCCCCACCACGCGTCTAAGTGCTCCTACATCAAAGCCAACCGGTCTCGAAGAGCGTCACGCAACAAGTCCTCGTTGACGTTCGTGCAACGTTGCCGCCCGCCCGCGTCGTTCCCCACAATGCCCAAATCCACTCTCCAGCGCACACCATTCTCATCCACCTCCCACAACAGGTTTTCATCGAAGTCGATCTCGGCGTCTAGGAGGATGTTGTGCAGAGTGCACACTGCCATGAATTGCTGCGGCAAGGTATCCAGGTTCGTCTTGTAGGTGCGCAAGAAAAGACGCCACATGCACTTCAGCCGCCCGAAAGCTCTCTCCACACACCCCCGTGCCACCTTCTGCCGCGTGTCAAACCGCTCCTCGTCAGGACCTTGGTCGATTCCTCCGTACGGCTGCACAATCCAGGGGCAGACAAGAGGATAACCGTTGTCGCCTAGCAGGTAACCTCGTGTGACGACTCCGTGCGGCAGACTCACCGGAGGTGCGTCGAACAGCTCGCCAACTTGTGCACGCCTCTACAACTGGGAATTGTGCAGGACACGGACGTCGTGCACGCTTCCGGGGTATCCGATGTGGACGTCCATGATCCGCAGATCCAAATCCACTACCACCTGCGCCTGCACGAAAAACTTCTGTTTGCGGTCGTAGTAGTTGGCAGATGGTGAGCCGACGGGTTTGTCAATGAAGATGTGTGTGCAGTCGATTGCGCCGAAGCAGTTGGGGAAATCCTTGTCACGGAAAGCGTGCAGAATCTGCGCGCCTCTACGGCCCACTGGCCACTTTATCGCGTCTGGGTACGCCTGCAGCAGTGCCGAAGACGTCGCGGACGGCCTGTAGTCCAGTTGCTCTCCCGATGCTGAAGGCAGAAGTGCCGCTCTCGTACGTCTCTCCTGACGCCCACCTTTACAGTGCGAGCGCGATGACCTGCTCCACCGGCAATGGCATCCTATAGTGCGTCACCTTCTTCTCCACGTACGCGGCGCACGCGGCCACGACCTGCCTGAACATGGCCATCGACATGCGCACCTTCTGGCGGTAGTACTCGTCCGTCGCGTCGTCACACAGGCGGAGGTCCTCCCATGTTCCGCCAGTCCGTCGTTTAATCCACCAGCGAGGGGTCTCCCGCGGGAAAACAACAGAAGACAGCATGGCGCACAACTGGATGACTGCCTGACACGTGGCCACGCAATCTGGCGCTTCGCCAATGCGCTGCAACAGCGCTCGTCGTTTTCGGAGCTCCGCCAGCGCGTCGCGTGGCGAGGACGGTACACCGCGCATCGTGTTCACGACGACGGCAGTCACAGCCATTGCCACCACCTCGATTTCGTCATCTCGAAGACCCTGCCCGCACCCGCGAACGTCCATATCCAAGAACCCCGTGCTCTCCATAGCTAGACGCCTGCCACAACCGCCAAACAAACGCCCGATGCTGAAAACCACCACTTTGACGACGCACGCCGGTGCCGAAGATGCGGCCGCTCGTGTACGACGGCACAGGAGATGACGCACGGCGTAGCCGAAGACGCGCCCGCTGCTCCATGCTTCCACAGGGCAGCGCGCACGACGTAGATGAAGAAGCACCCACCACGAAGATGCGCCCGCTGGTCACAAGTTGCGCGGAATTGCAAGACGGATACCCACAGCGTACGCTTCGCCACCGCCGTCTTTTGGACGTCACACGCGTCGCCTGGCCTTCCTCCGCCGCGCTACCTTGTGTCCGTGAAAATTCAAATTTGAATTTTTGAAGTTCGGGGGGACCGCGTTTTTCACCCACCCCTTTTTCCTCCGCCCAAGGGCCTCCGCACTGTGTACCACGGACAACATCCAGGAAGGGACGGACATCAGCAGGGCGGCTGCGTATACGCATATGAAGTTGGGCCGCGGGAGACCTTTTAGGACGATTCCTAAAAGATGATTTTTAGGACTGCGTGTAACGACGACGCTCGGAATCCTAAAAAACCTTTAGGACTCGTCCTAAAAAATTTAGGATTCTTTTAGGAGTGTCTAACGAGCCCCTAAGAGAAAGAGAAAAATACTAAGTTACGAACACAGGGGCAGCAAAAGAGAGATTAACAAAGGAAAACAGGAGAAAAAACGACAGGCATGTTGGCCATTCTGGCCGAGGTACTGGGCCAAATCTTCATTGCTAAGGATCCTGAAGACAATGACATAATGTCAAGGGCATGGATGCTCGCATGGTGGGGAAATGGCCAATCGAGTCATGTATAAGTTTAACACAGGTGGCCCTCCCTCGGGCTTCTAAGGTACGGGCCTGCATTTTTGCCTGAAAGAATCGAATTCACAACAACGACGATACGTACACCAAAATAGGATGCGGGGCCTAGACCCCTGCAGGAGCTGCTCCTCAACATCTCATGTAGCCACCATCAGTCAGATTGCGCGTGTCTGTGCCTACCACCGCCTCAAGCTATTTTCTTTTTTCTTTTTTTTTAATGGTCCGATGGACCAAAAATTTAATTTTCTTGCTATTTCTATTTATTGTCTAATTGAAGCAAACAAAAAAATATTAGTTCAATAATTAATGATATGATTATAATTAGGAATTATCATTATTATGATTTTTTTTTCTTAATTCGAAAGGAGAATGCGCCTGCCACCACAAACATAAGGGGACCTGCAAACACCACCTGGGAGTAGTCAAAATATTAGTTCAATAATTAATGATATTATTATAATTAGGAATTATCATTATTATGATTTTTTTTCTTAATTCGAAAGGAGAATGTGTCTGCCACCACAAACATAAAAGGACCTGCAGACACCACCTGGGAGTAGTCTCGAAACAAAAAAAAAAAAAAAAAAAAAAAAAAAAAAAAAAAAAAAAAAGTTCAGCGAAATAACTTCCACGTGGGGCCTGGGTCAGAGGTTAAGTAGGAGCCCCGCAACTGGATAGGGACTTTGTGCAGCTCCAAGCCTTGGGCACTGGGTGCTCTAGAATAGATTAGAACAATGACTATACTCTCAAACTTTGATCTGCATTGTTGTATTAATTACATCCTTGTCCCTAGTACACTTTTGAAAGTGCAAGGTCCTTGGAAGGGAAAAAGAAAGAAAGATCCCAAATCACCCTCTCATTTCCTTCAACAAGATTGGTGCTTCAGGTAAGATACACTCTATCCATGCCCTGTGCTTGGACACAGTGTCATTAACTGGAGGCCGCATCAGCTCAGCAGGTTCGAATTTTTACTGGGCCCTACTTAGTTGGTTTAAGGAATCCAATGAGAAGGAAAGATTGATCCCCGAAATTGGGGATGGGATCAGAGGTGAGATAATTACAGAAACGAACGCTTGTCTCCAGGGTGACATGAAACTGTTCACACGCAGTTTTGCAGATCTGCTGAAGGCCTCGTGGGATCCCGCTTTACTGGCTACCGCGACAGCAGTTAGACAACCAGGAGGTCCCCTGACAATCCAAGGAGTCATCCAACCACAGGCCCCGTCCGGTAACGCAGATGGCCTCTAAAGTAAAGGCGATCTCCTGGAATGTGAGAGGACTAGTAGATGGAAATGGGAAACATAGAAGATCCAGGCTCAAATCCTGGATCCACTACATCAATGCTCAAATCATTTTGCTACAGGAAACTAAGCTCAACAGCGACCGCATTGCTGAGCTGAGGGATTGGTGGACAGGTCCCCAGGTCTGGGCCCCGGCAGAGGGCACCAGAGGGGGGACAGGGATTCTGATCCATAGTTCCCTATGCAGTTCCATCTCTCAGTCGGAGACAGACCCGACAGGGAGATGGACCAAAGTTTCACTCCAGATTGGTCCTCAGGAATGGACCTTTATCTCTGTGTATGCCCCCACAGACCACACTGCCAAGATTTAATTTTTTCAAGGTCTCATCTCAGTTATCCCAAACTCAGATTTCCTGATTGTAGGGGCGGATTGGAACACAGTGCCGAATGAAGCTCTAGATTCCTCTTCCCCACTGTCCAATCCATCCGAGTCTGTATCCCTCAATAAGATGATTGCAGAAGTCGGACTTTTTGACTCTTATCGCACACTCAACCCGGATGTACGCAATTTCACTTGGTTTTCGAGCAATTCTCCAATCGTCTACAAACGGTTGGACATTATTTTTTGTACAGAAATGGCTCTTCCACTGATTCACTCAGCGGAAATTACCCCCCACCCCCTATCAGATCACAAACCTATCTCTATCACGTTAACAACGGGTTCCTCTCTCACCAAGGGGAGAGGTACTTTCAAACTTAATATGCGTATCTTTGATGATAAAAACATGATAGAATGGGTCTGTAACTTTTGGGAGGAGTGAAGATCCTCATCCAACCTATTCCTAGAGGATGGGGATTGGCTAGATAAGGGGATCCATCTTCTCTCAGGATTTCTCAACAACATATCTAGAATTAAAGTGGTCAATAGGAGGTTGGAGGAGATTACTCTCATCCGCAATATCGAGAAAGCGGAGGCACGCATGGGGCAGTCCTCCTTTTCCAATAGCCACTGGGCCCTTAGGAGATCCATGTGGCTTCAGGAATGACAAGAGATCCAAATCACAAAACATGAATCGTGGCTCAAATTTAGAACTCACGCATCCCTTCGATTATACCCAGACTCTGGCATGTGCATCCACAAAGTGTTAGAAGGAAAGGCGAATTCCCCCCCAATGGGACAAAATGAACACCCAGACCCCGGCATGTCCTCCACAAGGACAAAATGAACAGCAAAACTCTCAAAGTGTTAGAAAGAAAGGCGAATTCCCCCCCAATGGGAGAACTCACGCATCCCTTCGATAACACCCAGACCCCGGCATGTGCATCAGAAACAATCTGTGACTACGTCCGTATTTTTTGTGAGAAACTCCTCACCTCAGAAAAAGACCCAACAGCCCCAGTGGTACCTCCCGAATGGGAGGAACGCCTTTGGGGCTCAACTCACAAACTCGTATTACAGGCCGAAAGTTCACTTTTCGACCAACCGTTGTTGCTAAGTGAAATAACTGCAGCAATGAAGGATATGGCCAGAGACAAATGCCCAGGACCCGACGGTCTTCCAGTAAAATTCTTTGAGTTATTCTGGGATATTTTTTCCCCAGACCTCCTCCGAGTTTTCAATGGTGTACTTACGGGTAAAGCATTGGGAAAAGGACTACCGAAGGGGTGATCACTCTCCTCTATAAGAAGGGTGATCGCTGGAACGTACGAAATTACCGCCCGATCTCATTGCTCAATGTGATAGGTAAAATCCTAGCCAAAACTCTGGCTAGGAGAATCTCCCATCTAATGACTGGTCTAGTTCACCTTGACCAATCCGGCTTCATACCGGGCAGGCAGCTGCTAGACAATGTTATGGTCATCTCTCAATCTATTGATTTAATCCAGACTCTAGAATCCAATACAGTTATATAACTAATTGACTTCGAAAAAGCTTATGACAGGGTGAATTGGAAATTTACTCTGAAAGTCTTGAAGAGACTTGGCATAGGCCCCAAATATAGGTTTTGGGTGGAAAGCCTGTACCGTGGCTCTCAAGGGAGGATGACGGTCAATGGATTCATCTCAAAACCTTTCACAGTATCTCGCTCTCTAAGACAGGGCTGCCCCTTGGCACCCTCCTTGTTTGTCATACAAATGGAAGTACTACTGAACATGATTAGAACACACCAGGAATACAAGGGATTGACCGTATCTCCAGCCTTGGAACTGAAAGTCTCTGCCCTCGCTGATGATTTTTCAACACTTACAGAAAATTCAAGCTCGTCTCTGAAAGCCCTGCAGGAATGTATCTCTACCTACGAAAAACCCTCAGAAATGAGGGTGAATTGGAACAAATCCGTAGCTTTATCCTACGGAGATGTCCCATTAGCCATTGATCTTGGGATCAAACTAATACCCGCCACAGAAACAGAGAGGTACCTAGGGATTAAAGTTTCCTTTGGAGAATGTTCAATGGATCAGGCGGCGGTAATTGACAACAGAATCAGGGACAGATGCGCCAAATGGTCTGACAACAAACACCTTTCATTATTCGGAAGAGCCCTGGTGGCAAATTGTTCCATACTATCAACGGTATGGTTCATCTTAGCCATCAGCCAGATCTCCTCCTCATCCGCCAACCTAATCAGACAACTGCTAACCAGATTCATTTGGAAAGAGGACGCTAACACTCCGTCATGTATCAGTAAGGGAGCCTGGTGGAAAATTACTGAGAAAAAGAAGGACGGGGGGTTGGGTATACTTGACCCAGAGGCACAAAATTCAGCTCTATTAGCAAAATGGCCGGTTAGACTTATCACCTCCACCGAACCCCAACCCTGGATTCAGTTAGCACAGGCTATACTGGCCAAGGAATGAGACTTCGCTGACCCAAAAGCAGTTTGGCATGCCCTGTTGTACCCACCACTAGTGAAATCTGTGAAATCCCCCACATGGGACCCAATCCTCAAAGCCTGGTTCAGGATACTCCCCTCTTCATCCGTACCTCCTTCCACGCTGTCTGA